GAGTCAAAGAACCACTGTTACCTCGAAGAGACGCTAGTACCCCCGGCCGAAGTATCGCCTCGGACACTAGGGGATCACGATACCAATCATATCAGCCCCTTACGGCTCATCTGTCCCAGGTGTTGTGCGCGATCGAGAAGAGAGCCGATGTGCGGTGGCCTCGGACCGCTCGCGGAGCCCCCCGTCGAGATCCAACACTGGGTACTTTTTGCCGTTTTCACAACGAATACGGACATACGACCGACGACTGCGCACATCTAAAAGACGAAGTGGAACGTCTCATCAGAGATAACAAGATCGGGGATTTTGTGAAAATAGATCCACCACGGGGGCAGAAGCGCGAAGCTCAGTTCGGGAACCCGCCACGAGCACCGCCCCCACCTCTCCTGGGACGAATCCTTCCAAATCTACTGCGCCCACAAGGCCTCTCATGTCATCTTCACCATCAAAGTTGATAATTTCATCGGCGCCGAGCTCATCGGCTGGGCCCGCATCGCCGTCTCCGAACTCATCTCCGGGAAAGAAATCGACACGGGGCTCACCATCCTCCACACCGACAACGAACCAATCTTCCTCCTCGGCCAACCCGAGATCCACGTCAAGCTCAAGTTCTTCGACGTCGCAAGAGAGCGATACTGGTCGCGCGGCCTCAAGACTCCCGAATTCCCCGGCGTGCCGTTCACCTTCTTCCGCCAAAGGAACGGCTGCAAAGTCACCCTCTATCAAGACGCACACGTGCCGGATAATTTCATTCCCAAAATACCCCTCGCTGGAGGGAAGTTCTACGAGCCCCGTCGCTGCTGGGAGGATATTTTCGACGCTATATACAACGCCAAACACATGATCTACATCACCGGTTGGTCGGTCTACGCCGAGATCACGTTGGTGAGGGACCGGAGAAGGGCGAAAGCCGGCGGCGATTTAACCCTCGGCGAGCTTTTGACGAAGAAGGCTGATGAAGGTGTTAGGGTTCTTCTTCTAGTGTGGGATGACCGAACCTCCGTCGGCTGGCTTAAAGAGGACGGTTTGATGATGACTCACGATAAAGAAACCGATAAATATTTCCTTAATACGAACGTGCACTGCGTTCAGTGTCCGAGAATTCCAGGCATAGGTCAGCGCCTTATTCATAATATCGAAATCGAGACATTGTTCACTCACCACCAAAAGATTGTAGTGGTGGACAGCGAAATGCCTAATGGCAGTTCAAATATTAGACGGCTTGTCAGCTTCATAGGCGGCATCGACCTCTGCGACGGGCGTTACGACACGCAGTTCCATTCCCTTTTCCGGACGCTGGATTCTGTCCACCACGATGATTTCCATCAGAGAAACATCGCGGGGGCCACAATCCGGAAGGGCGGGCCCCGAGAGCCCTGGCATGACATACACTGCAGGCTGGAGGGGCCCGTCGCTTGGGACGTCCTCTACAACTTCGAGCAGAGGTGGAAGAAGCAGGGCGGCGGAACCTGCTTCTCCCCCTTCAAGAACTCAAACAAACTATAATCCTACCGTCTCCCGTCATGTTTCCTGACGATCACGAGACGTGGAACGTCCAACTTTTGCGCTCGATCGACAGTGGGGCTGCCTTCGGCTTCCCCTATGACCCCAAAGAGGGGGCAAAATCGGGTCTCGTGAGCGAACACAACAACATCATCGACCGGAGCATACAAGACGGATACATCCACGCTATTCGCCGCGCGAGCCGATTCATCTACATCGAGAACCAATACTTCTTGGGGAGTTCCTTCTCGTGGTACTCGAAGGATCATAACAAAGATGCGGATGTTGGAGCCCTACACTTGATTCCGAAAGAGCTCTCGTTGAAGATAGTGAGTAAGATCGAAGCGGGAGAGCCGTTTAGAGTGTACGTCGTCGTCCCTATGTGGCCGGAGGGTTATCCGGAATCCACTGGGGTTCAAGCTATATTGGATTGGCAAAGGAGGACTATGGAGATGATGTACACCGACATCGTTGAAGCCCTTAAAGCAAAGGGCATAGTTGCAAACCCTAAGGACTATTTGACATTCTTTTGCCTTGGCAATAGGGAGGTGAAAAAGGGTACCGAATACGAGCCGTCGGAGAAACCCGATCCCAACACGGATTACAGCCAAGCACAACAGCTAAGATGATGATCGGTAAATTAAATTCTTTAATTAAAACATTTTATAATAAGCTCTAAAAAAATTGTAATATGTCATTAATTAATTACTAATCTTTGTTTTGCAGTTGACGATGAGTACATAATCATAGGATCGGCGAACATTAACCAAAGATCAATGGACGGTGCACGAGATTCGGAAATAGCGATGGGGGCCTATCAACCGTATCATCTTTCGTATCCGAATTCTGCGAGGGGCCAAATTTACGGGTTACGAATGGCGTTATGGTACGAGCACATGGGATTATTGGACGACTCTTTTGGCCATCCTCATAGCATTGAGTGCATTCAAAGGGTGAACAAAATAGGTCAGAAGAATTGGGATCTTTACACTAAGGAGGATCTCGAGGAAGATCTGCCCGGCCATTTACTTAGCTACCCTATTGGAGTTTCGTCGGACGGAAAGGTGACCGAGCTGCCCGGAATGGAGTACTTTCCGAATACAAAAGCTAGGGTTCTTGGATCCGAGGCCGAGTACTACCCTTCGATCCTCACTACGTAAACTAACACAATTAATTCATTAATTAATTGACGTGTGGGATTTTTATTTGTTGTGTTTTTCTTTTTTTTCTTTTTTTTTTTCTTTGGACCTGCAATAATTACACGAAAATACGTGAAGATTGATTTATTTTTTGCAGTTTGGCTATTCTTATTACAATAAAATGTTGTTTGAAGTGTTTCTGCTATACATGTAAGTATGGCTTTCTTGATGTAATTTACATTTGATAATATTTTCACAAATTTGTTCTGTTAGACAATTCGTCGAACATGTTGTGTTCGATATTCTAGATGATTGGTTTTCAGCTACACTTATCGAATGATTCAATCAAATTCTATATTATATTGTAATAAGATGTGATTAATCGCCTTGTAAAAGTGTGCTGACGTAGGCCATTATACTGCACTCTTTATGCCCTTACGCACGCACACCGAAAATGGTGTTTGACTAAACTTATAAGATATTTAACTGCTTATAAGCTCTTCTAAAATATTCGCTAATAATTGTTAAAAAAAAATTAAAAATTCCAAAAAAAAAATTGTTAGAGAGCAAATAATTATTTTTATACCTCTACCGACCTTTTTAATTAAAATCTCTTACTCAAACAACTTATTAGCTTTTAAAACTAATGTTGTTAGAACCGGACCGAACCGGTCGGTTGGACCGGTTCGATCGTGACCCGTCAATAAAGCGGTCCGGTCTGACATTTAAAACCGGAGTTAAATGACCAAAATTCGGCTCGACCGGGTAAAACTCGAGAACCGACGAGTCAGTCAAGGAATCCGGTTTTCAACCAAAATGTCTAGAATCACCACTGAGTTGGTTATTTGTAGATAGATTTGAGCGAATCTTCACAGACTTAGTAGTTGGTGGCTGGATCTAGTCATGAGTGGTCGAAAGATTGTCGAATATGAACATGGGTGACCGACTAGCGGTAGCCGATTGCCGGATTGAAGAATAAAAAATGGAAGAAATATAGGGTATAGGCAATAAAATATAGTAAAAAAGTGCGGTGCAGTAGATAAAAGTGAATAATAAGTGAAAAATTAAAAATATAAAGAAAATAATATTTTTAAAATAGTAAAATTAATAAAATAATGGCATATTAAAAAAAATCAAAAACCCGGTCGAACCGGTTCGACCGTATAAACCCATGACCCAAATGGTCGTCCGTTTCTATAGCCGGTCCGGTTCTGAAAACATTGTTTATATATATAAGGGTTTTGATTTTTTTAATTTTCTAAATAAAACTTTTTATTTTTGTCATTTTTAGTTTCTTCATTTTTTTTCTTCTTAAATGTCTTCCGGTAGTTCAAACATCCTACAATCGCAAACATCTTTACAATCCTGTGATTGTTGCGAATTTGAACTACCGGAAGTCATTTAAGAAAAAAAGATGAAGAAATTCAAAATAACAAAAATAAAAGGTTTTATTCAGAAAATTTAAAAAAAAAATCGAAGTAATTAAATGCTTTGGAGAAAAAAAAAAATATATCAAAATTTTCCAAGTAAAATTGACCGAAAATGTTAAAAAAATATAGTGGAAAATGTCTCAAACAAAACCTTATATTTATAGGCTTAACATGGGTATTTTCGTCAAATTTTGGGAGAAAATATAACACGAGAGAGTTTTTGTATTTATGTATAGTATAGAAGAGTATATGATACAAAGTCCATACTACAAGAGTATTTTTGTATTTAACCGTAATAAGTTTAATATAAGTCCAAGTCAACAGTTCACCTCAAATAATTCGTCTATCTTTCTTAATCCTACATTGTAGACTATAGAATAATTGTCCCACTTAATACCCAACAATTGAAGGCCGGTAAAGTGGGCTCCTTCGACCTTACACCCGGTGATAAATATTGGGTGGGTCTTCTGCTGTGTCACCTGTCCCTTTTTTTATTTTTCTAAAACCCCTAAAATTAAACCCTAGTGAGAAATATATTATAAAATACAAAAAAGAGACACGTGGCAGCAGAAGACCCACCAGGTGTTTATCACCGGGTGTAGGGTCGAACAAATCGGTAAAGTGTATATTTAACCTTCATAATGGATCAATTAATTACTAATTCAAAACTAACACTTACGCAATTAAGAAGGTTTCTTTCCCGAATATTGTCCTTCATAAATTAATTAAATATTTAAACCATAAAAACAAAAAAGGAAAAATAAAATAATAAAAAAGATACATTCAATCTGACCCCTGAAAAAAAAAATACTTATAAAAACATGACCAAGAGTGGAAAAAAAATGCAATTAAATTCTTCAGACAGGAAACTGCAGCCCCAACTTCCTCCATTAAATTAAAAAAAAAAAAATCCTCTCTCTCTCTCTCTCTCTCTCTCTCTCCTCTCTCTCTCTCACACACACAAACACACAGTAGTTGATCAATGGCTTCAATTCTGTCATCCCAAGGGGTGGTGTTGGCCACCGCGGTGGCAGTCTCCGGCGCAACCGTAATCCTACTAGCCATCCGCCTCCAAAAGTCTCCTCCTTCAACCCACCACCATTTCCCACTCCTTCCGCCACCATCTCGCGGCGGCGCAATCTCTTCAGGTACACTCAACACCACCGGCGCGGCGGCGCCATGTTGTTACTTTTTTTCTTTTTACATGATGTTTGTGCATATAGTTTGCATGATCAAGATTTCAAAAGAGTTGACTTGGTCGTCGCTATATGTTTGACCAAAGTGTACAATATGTAATAATTAATCTTGAAAAATTACTAAATTAGATTTAATTTAGTTTTGTTTTTTAAAATTAAATTAATTAATTGTGCAGATGAAAAAATGAAAAAAGAGAAAAAGAATAAGAAGAAGAAGAAAAGGGTGCACTTTGCAGAAGATGTGGTGGACCCAGTTGGAAACAGTGATGAGTATAGAAAATTGCACAGCAATAAATATTTAAATTTAAATTTAAATTTAAATAAATTGCCATTATTAAAGAAGAATGGGAAAATTGAAGAAATGCCAGCCAATAGAATGGCACTTTACAATGGAATTCTCAGAGACAGAAGATCCCTTCACAGGGTGGCTTATTCATGTTAATATTGTTTTTTTTTTTTTTTTTTTTTTTCAGTTAGGTCCTCTATTTCGTAGGTAATTGCATGTAAGGACATGAGTTTAATTTGGGATTGCATGTGGGCACATGAATACTTTTTGTCATCTTTCCAAGAGTTGAACATTGATTCTCTTTTACTATTATTACTCTTTCTAGCTCTTATGGCATGTGCCATGCATGTGGGTTGATTAGAATCTATCTAGGGTTCAAATTAAGCATGAGCACGAGTCGGGTCGATCATGAACCGACCCGTTTACCGCTGGCTGATTAATTGATGATCAAGAGTAGCATCGTCCGTGATCCGCTCGTATAGTACGGACTGCATGGTTACGGTGTACGTATACTTGAATCGTGAACGGAATATGGTTCCAATATCAAAATCATGAATAAAGAAATGTCGAGTCAGCAATATAAACGTCATTTTTTTTAATAAGAAAACTTGCACGTTAAATTATTTATTAAAAAAATAGAATGGTCGAAATCGACCCAAAAGCAGCCCGGAACCACCAATTTCTCAGTCCGGTTATATATTACGGTTCTTGAACCTGCGATTACGTAAAGTATGAAGGGCCGCACTCGATTTGGATATTAACAAATCAAAAAGAAAAACTCTCCCCACGTGTAAATGTCTAAATTAATGCTGGTCATTATTATTTTTTTCTCTATAATTTAACAATTGAATTTAGGCGAATAATTAGGACTTTTCATTCATATATACTTTGGCTCAAACATATAGGCAAAAGCCAATGAAAATTGATAAATATTCAACTAATTAAAGTGTTTCTTGATTGAATTAGGTTCTTATAATATAATATTTTACTCTAGATAAATTAGTGTGACACCTGAAATTAGAACCTGTGAGCTTCTGACACGTGTCGCCAAGCTGCTGGACAGACTATTTACCAGATAAAAAAAGAAAATTATATATGAGAAAATGAGAAGTAGCCAAAGGAGGAATGGGCTCGATTCCACTGTCCAAACAATATTTTTTGCAATTTTTAAATTATATATATATATTGTCCTATGTTATATTTTCTTCTTCTTGTTCTTAAGAGATGTTTGGTTGTGGAATATGACAAAGTGATCATGCATCATATGATATATGTAATAGCTAATGAAAAGTAAATCTTGAATTAATTAGTGAAGATTAAGATATAACATGACATATGCGAATCCAATGTTTTCATAAATCAATTTTAATTTCATGACCTCACCAATTTAATTAATTGTTTATTATACATGAAACAAGGTGCTCTTTTTATACAATAGGTTTTCATTCTTATTTGTTGCTTTTGAAAAAAAAAATAGAATATTAAGCCTTTATAAATTAATAAACTCGGGACTAGCAAAACTCTATTAATTTAGTGAAATGTTAAATTATGGAACTAATAATTTAGTACATTTTATGACGAGAACGTTTGGATCAGGAGAAATTATTATTCCAATGAGGTTATTAATTTACTATAGTTGATAGACAAAACACCAATGAAAGTGTGACACTTTCTTTAATTTCCACATGACGTCACAACACTAAACTAGAATAACTTATCATTAGTTTCTATTGAGCCGGCACATTATAATTAATTAATTAATTAATTATAAATTAAAAAAGAAACAAAGAAAAAAGGGTTTGATTGGTCAAGATAAGCATTGACATTATTAACCAGTAATTATGTTAATCTTGGTAGTTAATTAGTGGTGATGACGTTTAACGCCTACTATTGATATGACATTCTTTGTGCAACAATAATGTGTACTTTCTCTTTTCAATTGGTGGATGTAAGCATCCATCAATAAAATATGTTTATAATAAAACTTTCAATAGTTTACTACGTACAAGTTGCAATTATCTACTCACAATATAAAGTTAGACGCAAGTGTATGTAACTTGTTTGCCCAAAATTGTACATATAGAGTCAAATTTATACTAAAACCAATGTATTTTATTCATTTTTGTTCGGTAAGGTAAGGGATGATCATGACCTAACCGTTGGAACAAGTGAATTGTGGTTTACGTATCTCGTATAGTTTGCAAACTGACTCCGATAACCTACTGAGCAGGTCCTCTTATCGGAAGGGAAAATAAGTTGGTATGGCTCGAAACGATCTCCTCACATCGGTGAAGCGATTTGACGACCCCGGAACAACAGTCCTACCTTGGGAACATTCTGCCGTTTTCATAACAAATACGAACACAAAACTGATGAGTGCTCCCACCTCAAATGTGAAGTGAAAAGACTCATACGAGATAACATAATAGCTGATCTTGTCAAACTGGACCCACATCAAGGGCGAAAACGAGGTGACAGCTTCGTATATCGAAGAATAGCACTTCCACCACCACCACCACCCAAGAGTAGCAACACATCGGCTCAGCCTGCTGAAACATGGTTGCAAGTCGGTCAAACAAGAGCCACAACATTTCAGAGTAGTAATAAAATGAAATTTGAATTGGTTATATACGTGCTTTCAAATTGGAAAAAACAACTCTAAAACTTTTTACATTAGGTCTTAAAACTAACGTTTAGGAAAATAAACATAAACATTTGACACATTATAAAATTATTACAAAATAATTAGTTAGGAATTATGAAAGAAAGTGGACTTTTGAAATTCACGAGTAATAAGGGCCTGGCCTTTCTTTAGTATCTTTTGGGCTTTGCTTTTCAGTCGTGGGCCTTACTTAGAAATTAAATCACTCTTTGATTATGAAAACAAATGGATCGGATTAAATTAGTAAAAACCCCCTCACTTAAATGGATAAATGAGGATGGATCCCACCCCTTTTTCAATATTAGTGAGACCCCCCTAATTTATTTAATTAAATAAATACTTAACAAAATTTATACTAATGTTCCTAATTTACCCCTTTTACCAGATAATATATTATTTCCCATTTTCACCCAAACCCTAAATTTCATTCTCTATAATTTCACGATGTGGAAGAAAAAATGGCTAGGGCAGTGCAGGCGGCGGCGCCACCAAAACAAGGATGAACCGCGGTTTTTTCGATCTCCCCTTTTCCTTTATACGGTGAGTGCAGATTTGCTAGTGTTTGTTTTTTTTTTTTTTTTTTTTTTTCTTCAATTTTTGGAAGCATTCCTATAATCCTCGTCGGAAAATCGCCCCACCAGCGCTGTAATGAATCAATCGACCCCGAGGAGGATAAAGAAACCTTGGGTTGCATCTTTAAATCGCGACCGTAGACATCGTTAACAAAAGCTTTGTTCGTTATATTCGGTGGCCACCAAAGGCGTTGGAATCGACTATGGGAGACCCTTCGTTTTTTTTTTTAATGGTTAACCCCTCTCTACCTCCACCCTCGTCTCCATCGTCGGATCTGGTAACATCGTTCTGCTCCACCGCAGCCATAATTTAAAAAAAAAAAAATCGGAGATGTTTTTTGTTGATGGGTATCTGTTGATTTATATGCCTATAGAAATCAATTAACCTAAGTTGTAACAGTTAAGTTGTGGAAACAGTATTCAGTTACAACTATAATTCTTGTGTTAACACAGTTATAAACTACTTAAAGCAAATAAATGAACACAAGGAATTAATGTGGTTCAGACACAAATGTGCCCTACATCCACGTGGACCTGCAAACACGATTTCACTAGTTCAGATTTACAGTGTACATTAATAGGACTTATTAAAAACACTAAAGACTCCCTCTTTATGTAATATGCCGTTCTTGTACACAACTCGAACTTCGTGTTTCTTCCAACAGCAGCTCCACCCGCGTGCCTTGAACTTTCTTCAAGCCTGAACTCCCTTCAGAAAACGCGGCTGATCTCCCTTGAGATCTATACAGCAAATCTGTATATGTTGGCACAGTGCAACGATGGCACAGTCCTGCTCCGCAGAACGCCTTGGCAAAACTTCGATGCTATGAAGAGGTTTTTCTCCCAAATAATGCTCACGGTTCTTGTATGTCTTGGAGGCTTATATAGCCACGAAAATAAGCCCTAAGACCTAACTTGAACCTCAAGAAATCTATTTAACTAGGTAATAGAATCCTAGTTGATTTCTACTTCTATTCTAGATAAGTACAAAAGATACCTAACTAGAATACAATACATGGAAATAAATCTAAGTCCTAATAGAAGTATTATAAGAATAGGACTCTAATAAATTCCAAAATAAATATGGAAAACAAATCTTTGCCAATCTTTTAATTCCAAAACTTGGCGGATTTCCTCGATCTTCAATAACCGGAAATATGGCGCCAACAATCTCCCCCTTTGGCATAGATTGGTCAGAATCCATATTTAACAAGAACTCCCCCTGCATATGAGATTTTCTCTCTTTGCAGGAATGATTAACTCCCCCTGCATCACATACTGTTAGTACAACAGAAGTTGCAACACATAGATGTTGTAACAGAGAAATTTCCTGCAGCACAAAGTTATCCAAAACAAGCCCAAGGCACAAAATAAAGATAACCAAGGTGATATCCAAAAGGCAGGAAAGTAATCATAACTATAACAGTCCTAAATAAGACATAAATTTGAGCAGTTTAAAAAGGACAACAAAAAGGTTTTTCAAAGAAACTTCCCTTAATAATCATAGTCGGAGAGCTGATCATTATCATGAGAACTGTTGGACGCTTTGCCTTGCGGTTGTGGACTGCTGCTTCATCATTGAAGTTTTTGCTGGGGCATGCGGAGTTGCATCTGGAGTTGTTGCTACTCCCCCTTTCTGACCAGACTGTGCCAAAGTCTTAAGAAGCTGGTCCTGAATAGACGAAAATTCCTGAGCAAGCTGAGCCTGGATAGACTCCTAAAAACGAGTGAGCTCATCTTTGGTGACCACGTCAACTGGCGGCGGAATAGAAGCAGAGACAATGGGAGCCTTCTTCGCACGAGGGACTGTCTGAACAACAGAAGGATCGACAGGAGGCAGATCAGCAAAATGTTCAGAGAGGACCTTACCGTGGATAGTAATTGGACGGCCAGGTGGGTCCAACAGGGTGGCATCACGAGTAGGCAGGCCTTGTTTGATCAGAAGCTGATAGATCAGAGAAGGAAATGGCAAATGCTCACGCTCAGTGCGGGAATTGGCTAACGCACCAATCTGATTGAAAATCAGTTCACCAATGTTGATCTTGAGGTCGTGAGTGATGCACCATAAGAACTCAGCTTGGGTTGGATTGAGAGTAGCATTGTGAGTAGTGGGAAACCAATTTGAAATGCCAGCAGAGAGTTGAGAGCCCACAGATGAATCAGAGGATTCAGAACGCAGAGGGTCATCCTCAGGAATAGGCTCAGAAGAAGAGGATTGTTGACCTTCAGACACGGAGGCAGGAGTGGAGACAGATGGGCCTTCGTGTTTTCGATTAGAGCGGCGGAGTTGAACAGGAAACTTTGATCAGAAGCTGATAGATCAGAGAAGGAAATGGCAAATGCTCACGCTCAGTGCGGGAATTGGCTAACGCACCAATCTGATTGAAAATCAGTTCACCAATGTTGATCTTGAGGTCGTGAGTGATGCACCATAAGAACTCAGCTTGGGTTGGATTGAGAGTAGCATTGTGAGTAGTGGGAAACCAATTTGAAATGCCAGCAGAGAGTTGAGAGCCCACAGATGAATCAGAGGATTCAGAACGCAGAGGGTCATCCTCAGGAATAGGCTCAGAAGAAGAGGATTGTTGACCTTCAGACACGGAGGCAGGAGTGGAGACAGATGGGCCTTCGTGTTTTCGATTAGAGCGGCGGAGTTGAACAGGAAACTCAACATGGCGGGGGGTAACCTCTGGATCTGAGGGCAGATCATCTTGTGGGGTTCCAGAGAGGCTATCACCGTCAAGAGCAGTCACGCCGGTGTCAACATGGTCAGGCACATCACTAGTCTTGAGACTTGGTGAAGGGGAAGCCACTGGAGTAGAAACGGGGTCCAGATCTGTGGTGACAGGAACAGGAGAGACATCCACAACAGTAGGACGGACTTTCTTTGAGGATTTTCTGGACTTCTTCTCAGCAGGCGAGGCAGATGGAGTGTGGCGTCGCTTCTTGGAGCCCTCAGCAGATCGATTCTTGCCCATGGTGAATAGAGAACACAGAAAAACACAAGAAAATAAAAAGGAACGGCGGAAGAAAAGAAGAGGAAGAATAAAGTGTGAGAGGCAAACCCTAAAAGAGGCGGATATTTAAAGCACAGGGACCGAGAAAATAGGCAGAAAAAGAGAGGACTCTTCGGATACTGGATATTTTCAAATCAGAATAAGATCCCACAAAATCCGCCACCAATTACAAGCAAGAT